CATGTGTGGTATGGTGTAGTGATGTTTGTGGAGCAGGGTGCACATACAGTCATACATCCATCCTATTCCGATCGTCAATCCCAAGCAAACATTTTCAGTACGGTAGCTAGCTCACCTTTCTATATATTGGACAAACATTCCAATTGATTTCGATAGCTGCTGAGAAGTAGTGCAAAGAGAGCCTGCTTTGGATTAGCAAAATTTGTGCTGCTCGTCTTCCAAGAAAAAAATGTAAAACTTTAGAATAATATACGCATGGGAGTATAATGCTGAAGAGAAAATAAAAATGCCAAAAATTCAAGAACTGTAAAAAATAGAAGTGTGCGGGCAAAATATGATAAAAATGCCTGGTATAGATGCGCTTAACGTGTGGTCGTGCCCTTAAAAAACCCGAACACCAGATCTTAGTACTGACTGACCAGGAGACCTTGGTATCTGTGGCGTGCTCCCATTTACAAAACAATTAATATCTGTGGAAAGCAAACAAGTGAAATGCAACGTAGTGATGGTGAAGCGAGACATACGCGAAATCCGAATCCTCACTGTAAGCCTAGTGTCAAACTAAACGTAGGGTAGCTAGTTACTCATGAATCCAGTCCTGGATTACCGCCAAGTGTCGATTTTTCAAAAATTAGTCATTGGGAGGACTGCCTAAACGGCTTGGAATCGTAATTGACAACTATGACTCTGGATGCACTCACACATCGGGGCCACTTGTATTTATACTTTCGTAGTTCCAGAAGGTAAAGAAGCGTTCTTCCTTTGACTATACTCCAAACAAGAGCATTTCAAAAGCAGATGAAACAGTAAAGTAATAAAAGGAGGATTAGACAGAGACGAACGGAGTAAGCTTGAATAAAAAGATATGCGGCGGCTATTCTCCTTGCCGCCCATAGAAGTCGGAACAGTTCCCCCGCGCAAAGCAGCGGCACTTACATGAGCAGACCGTCCGAGACACTGTCGAGCATAGCTGTGACTGGTATCTAATTTCCTTTCTTCGAACGACGACTTCGAAATTACATATTCTAAGCTGCGCAAGAGATAGAAGAGTTTGGCTGTGGCCTGACTCTTTCAGCGCCTTGGTCAGCTGCGGCCGCACGTTGGAGACATTGTTGATGGTTATTTTTTACATGTTATTATCAAGAATTAGACTGAAGGCAGTTTTCCTTTCTGATATGCTGGCAGCTTACAAATCACCGAATCACAGAATTACTAATTTTCCTACCAGCTGATCTGCGCTGTCGGCTCGCTTGGTGTCAGAACCGAGCCATTTGTCAATGCAACAGATAAACAGAGTGCAGGAAAAAGTGAGAAGACCCTGTTAGAATGGGGTGAGGCTGTGAGGCGAAAGATTTGAAGTTAAAACTTATTTTGGTTTGGGCATAACCCACACTTGATTCGCAAGGAAATATACACTAGAAATCAGTTTTCTCGAACCGGCTTCTATTAGCCTCCGACTTATTGAAGCCGAATTACGAAATCATTTGATTTATAGGGCTAGTCCAAGTTGCGAATTGGAAGCCGCTTTCATTCGATCAAATCACTGACAATCTGGACGATACAGTGGAATCGCTGCTCAAGGATATTAGCAATCATATAACACTCAAAATACTGACCAAACAGTTTGTCTCATTTTTCTGATCGAATAATTTTTGGGCTTTCTGCCAGTTGTAAAATGCAGCTGGTAGTAATAGATGGGTCGCGTTTTCTTCGGCTTTGTCTTCACAACTATTTTTTACGCTTAGCTGAGTGTGGTGGTTTCAGTTTTTGACAGATCAGCATTGTCTAAGTGTCCGGCTTTTGAAAGACATGTTTTACATTTAAATCTGAGCCCTCCTTTCTATTTTTGCATCAGATTTGCTGAAATCTCATTGCTTTTTAGAGCAATAGCATAAAAAATCTATTTATACGAATTTTGTTGTGAATTTGCATTTTCAGATAATTTCAGCATTTTTTGAGCTTAAAACTGCGTCGATTTTTTCAGGTTTTACATCTTTTAAATAAATTTTTGTTTCTTTTCGGGTAAAAATTGTGCATGTTTTTCGACTGAATGAAATTTTCCTTTCCTTTTTTTTGGCTGAATTTTTCACTTTCTGGCTCTTATCGATTTTAACCTCAAAAAAGATCTCAATTTTAGTAAAATTACTGCCATTCTGTCCATAAATAGGCATATTTAAGAAGACAGTGCGGAAGCCTCTTTTTCTGTTATAAAGTCAATCATACTAGTAAGGAGAGCGAACCTCTTGCAGAATTTATGAACAGTTTAACAAACTGATCATACTTCACTGGACATACTTAAAATTTTATATTTTATCATATCCTGTTTTTAGTATGCCTGTTAATCACCCATCAAAAGGACAAACCATTGGTAGCCTTGCCACCCAGTGCTTGCTGCGTACTATACTGCCCAGGCCACTTTCGAATGTACAGGAATTGAAGGAGGGTCTGATTTTCCGTCCTCCATCTTGCTATGGCCTCTCTGTGTCTATGTTGAAATCAAGGCAGGGAAGGAAAATTAGAGAGGTTGAGCTGAGCATTTAGGGGATTGAAGAATCAGTCGTAAATTCTTGTTTGGGAAATTAAAGGGCAATGTAAGGCGAGAAAACGTAGGGTGCGGGGTGAGAGGAACGGATGGCGGGGAAGGTGAGAAGGATAGGCTCTATGTATATTCTTAAAGAAAGCTTTGGACTTGCTGTGGGTGGATGGATGGTCTCTGTTATGTTAGCTCTAAGCTGATCATCAAGCTTTCTCATTAGTCATATCGTAAAGCCTTTGCAAACGCGACATTTCCCATCCATGAGCAGTAAGAGCACTGAGCGTAATCGACCGTTGTTCAGTCACTCATCCTAATGTGCGAAATGCTTCGTTACGTTACGTGAATCTTAATCCAGTGGATGAACTTAAGGATACTTGATTTTTGACTGAATGGTGTTTCGCAGATGCGGCCGTTTGAAAAGGCATAGCATAATGAGGTTTAGCAAACGAAACAGTCAAGAATTTCCCAGAGAACTTATTTTTGTTTGTTGAAGAAAAATGAAGAATACTAATTTAACAAAAATTTTTTAAAAACGTTATAAGTTTAAAACTGCTTCTTGATTAATCTTTTCTTTGTTAGCAGTGGTTACGCTTAGCAAACGCTCTAGCACGGGCTATTTCCGAATGCTTTTGTTCTTCACACGCAACAAGCGTGCATGAGGTTTTGAGTACTGAATAGTTTTTAATTAGCAAGCATGTTTTGTTAACTGAGCATTAGCAATTAAGCATTTCTCAAAATCAGTAGCACTTGTTTTGCTTCTTTCTTTCTCTTGTCCTTGCATTGTTCGTTGATCTAATAGTATAGCTGCGGTTTTATAGTGAGCGAAGCATGCTTAATGGATTTTCGAGCAATTTGATTTATAGAACGTTTGAAAGTCCATTTTTCAACCCACATTTCTGTTTTTCCCAGCTGTTCGCATTAGTCCAGATTTGTATCTGAGGTCGTAGACCGGGGCACACTGAGAGCGCATCATAGCTTGACTGCTCGCTTCAAAGCATGCATCTTACACATTCCACAAATAAGGGCAACGCCGAGGATCGGAAGTGCTTCGGTCGGCCGACGATTAGCATTTGTTGTCAGATTTGGCTTGAATAACTACATCCACCTCCACAATTTCTTGCCTGCTTGTTTCGTTCATTCCCTGGTACGCATACACACATATAAATGTGCATATATACATTCACATTCCTTATTCATACAGAAATGCAAATACCAAGACGGCACAGGAGAGCAAGGTATAAGCTATCGAGCTCTGTTCGAGCCATCCCCCATTCTCAACCTCATTGACGCGCCTCCCCACCAACATGGAAAAAAATGCATTCATCCACCATCCACAACAACACACACACAC